GAACCCCCCCCATCGCGATTTGAACCCCCCCAATCGCGATATGAACCCCGATATCCCTCACCAACCCCCGCCCCCAACCCCCCATCACCCCCCTCCCCTCTCCGCCCCCTCTGTCGCGACTCCGCCGGGCTCCTGTCGCGACCTGTCGTGGTTCATGAGCATGTTGACGATGTCGCGGAACAGGTCGGGCTGGCGGGGGCTGAAGAAGCCGGAGCTGAGCTGGTCCACGGCCTGGCGGAGCTCGGGCAGGCGATCGTAAAACTCCTGAGCGCGGTACCTGGGGGGGCGGGGGGGAGGTTCAGGGGGGTCCTGGGGGGGTCCTGGAGGGGTTTGGGGAGGATTTGGGGGGGTTTGGGGGAAGTTCTGGGGGGTTCTGGGGAGGTTTTGGGGTTTTCGAGGGGGGGATTTGGGGGAGTTCTGGGGGGGTTGGGTGCCATGGGGGGGGTCCATGGGTGCCCCGGTCACTCTGGGGGCGCAGCGGGGGGGGTCCCCCCGAGACCCCCACCCCTTCCTGTCGAGCTCCTCGACGTCGGGCACCCTCATGCCGAAGATGAAGAGATTCTCCTCGCCCGCCTCCTCCGCCATCTCCACGTTGGCGCCGTCCATGGTGCCGATGGTCAGAGCCCCGTTCAGCATGAACTTCATGTTGCCCGTGCCCGACGCCTCCGTGCCCGCCGTGGAGATCTGCTCCGACAGGTCCGCGGCCGGGATCACTGCGGGGGGGGGGCAGAGGGGCGATATCGGGGTTATATCGGGAGATATCGGGGTGTATCGGGGCGATATCGGGGTTATATCGGGGGATATCGGGGTGTATTTGGATTATATTGAGGGATATCGGGGTATATTTGGGTTATATCAGAGGATATCGGGGGATTATCGGGGTGTCCTGGGGTTTTATCGGGGTTATATCAGGCGATATCGGGGTGCATTTGGGTTATATCGGGGATTATCGGGGTGTCCTGGGGTTATATCGGGGATATCGGGGTTATATCGGGCGATATTGGGGTTATATCGGGGATTATCGGGGGTTTTGGGGTCCAGGAACAGAACCCTCAGGGGGGATTGGGGATTTCAGGGCAGGGTCAGGGGATTTGGGGGCTGTTCTGGGGAAGGTTTTTGGGGTTTTGGGGTTCAGTGGGGAGGTTTTTTGGGGGTCCAGGGTTTTTTTGGGGTTTTGGGATTCAGTGGGGAGGTTTTTTGGGGGTCCAGGGTTTTTTTGGGGTTTTGGGGGTCCAGGAAGGTTTTTTTGGGGTCCCCCACCCTTCTCGGCCAGCGACACCCGGTAATTCTCCAGGAACAGAACCCTGAGTCTGTCACCCACGGCCGGGTCCTGGTTCACCACGTCCCCGATGGCCGTGACCAGGCGGATGATCATCTTGGCCATGTGGTAACCGGGGGCGGCCTGGGGGGCACCCCAAAACACTCAGGGACCCCAAAAACCACACAGGGACCCCAAAAACCACACAGGGACCCCCCCCTCAGAGACCCCAAAACCACACAGGGACTCCCCCCCCCAGAGACCTCTGACCCCTCACCCCAAACCCAAACGGAGCCCCTGAAAACCTGAGAACTGAGCCCCCCAAACCCCCCAAAAAACCAACCAAAAAATCCCCAATGAACGCCAAAACCAGCCCCGGAGCCCCCCC